CATGAAAATAGAAAATAATAGTACTGCACAAAAATCAAAGTAAACAGATTAGTTTTACTCTTCTTTGTAATAAGCAGCAAAGACTCACACATTGATGAAACTGAGGAAGAAAAAAATATTTGTCTCATTCACTTATATAAGAGCACAGAAAGACATTTTTTATAATAGAAAGTGAACACTAACTCCAACTTCCAGTCAAGAGTATCAGTGTTAAGCGTTTGTCATGGTGCCTATAGGTTTTTTGAGGCTTTTGAGGCTTGTTATGAGCTAATTTGCTCATAACAGATCCTTAAAATTCAACAGCAAAACTAGAAACCGTGTTTCTGAGTACTTCTACTTTAGGCAAAGTGAAATAAAAAGGATAGGACAAGCCACTGTAAAACAATGATGTTAACAGGATGTTAGCTCCCAGGGAACTATACATGTCATTTCAGCTGAGGTGTACAGGAGGAAAGGATAGGGAGAAGGACAGGAAAAAGCTACTGGCAATGTTTTCTTTTTATTGTCACATCCGATGGCACCCTCCATCTAATCTAGCAAAACCTGTTCAAAACACACAATATCTTATTTCACAAAATATCCCGTGTTTACAACAAGCAGCAAAAGCTGGGTGTTTTTAAGTTATATTTCAGAATCTTCTGTGGGAAAAACAGCAATCCCACAGGCATTACTCTCTATCTGGGGGTATTTGAAAACTACTTTCAGGACCTAAGAAATACATCCATGTGGTTATTCACACCTAGTACTGACCAACCTCAAAAAAGAATTTAGGGAAGGAAGAGAGTGCTTTTAATCAAAGTAGAAGTGCAGAGATACAGTGAATTTTGACTCTGCCAGAAGATTTCACTGCAGTCCTAAGCCAAGTCATATCTAGGAGTAGGATCTCTTTTCTTAGTTCACAAAGACAGTACTGAAACAATTTACACTTTTTTTTTAAATGGAGGGGGAGACGGTGCGGGGGGAGGAACTACAGACGCTTGTGTATGATTTAATGTCTCCTAGTTATTTTCTTTACTAAGAAATAACTTTGTTTTTAGAACATTCAGTATTACAATTGTCCCTTACCATCAGGCAGTTTGGTGGAATTCTATACCTCTGGGAAATAACTGCTAGGAAGGTCTAAAGGACCATAGTTTTCAACTTATACAGCATTATAAGTGATCACTAGGTCAAAAAGAAGTGTAAACACAAGGGTAATCACAAATTACTTTGCAATCAATTATACTATATGATGTTAATTTAAAAAAAATAAGTATCTGTATTTCCCAATATTGGAGACACTAATTAACAGGACAGGCACCCTACTGTGCATAGGAGCAGCTGGCTGATCTACTGAACTATATCCTGGAAAGCAACCCTGTATTTTGACAAACTCATAAAGGCTGTAGCCATGTACTTTACTGTTGTGAAAAAATATGAAGCTTAGCTTTCCTTCTTTTCTCCAATTCTATCCTTTATTTCCTCAAGGTGAAAATATGAAGTATTTTTCCAGTAGAGACAGATTTCAAAGGCCTAGATATTTTAATATACTTTAATCAAACGTCCTCTTCTTTTACACCTACTTTACAGCAAATGAAAGCTTTTCCTTTGTAGGCAGATAGAAGGACAGATGAAAACTGGCTTTTTTAGAGAAGCCACCACACTTGTAATGTTACTGATTGATAAGACCCTACAATGGGATGATATCAAAATCAATTGAAAAAAAGCTTTCGTAATGCATTACTTTTTGTAAAAAGTAATCCTATTGGCCTATAAGAGTATTTGACACAATGACTAGTTCATGTGTACCTCCAAATAGATCATGTACAGGCTACAAAAAACTAAGAGTCTCCTAGAATCCTACAATTTTACGATTTTACACGATTAACAGGTCAAATATAATGTTTGTAAGATTCTGCCATATCTTTTAATCAGGACGAAAATTAATAGAATATAGTAATGCCAAATTACCCCCAAGTCACCTCCCAGTCTGTACTGATATTGGGGATTGGCCCACCCAGATGAAGCACTTGGTCTTGTTGAAACTTCTTCAGGTTCACACAAGCCCACTCCTCAAGCCTGCCAAAGTCCACCTAGATGACCCTTGAGGGACATCATATATTACCAGTTTCCAGTTAGAGACTAAGTTGTTGACTGTAACTCTTTAGACGCAGCCACCCAGCGAATTTCTTATCCATACAACAGTACATCCATCAAAACTAACTCTCCAATTACATAGGTTAAACATGTCATACTTACCCCCACTGATACTGTCTGATTACTAATTATTTCAAATAAAGTAGCTATCAAGCTCAGTAATCACTTAACTACAGTAAATCCCTAACATTCCTAAAAATAAGAGAACCAAACCCAACTGAAGCCACGACCATGAACACTTTAGTAGTCTATAAAACGTCACAAGGATCACTGACATGTAGTCAATTGGAACACATAGAACACCGCAACAACTGTAGGACTAAAAGTCATTCTTCCCTAGCCCATGAATTTTAACATAAAACGAAGAAATAATATCCCTTTGCCTGTTTATAACCAAATTCTCCTTCTAAAAAGAGGGAAAATCCACTTTACGTGGTTGCACTTCTGACAGCTTTCTCACCTACAGACATTTTCTAAAAAACAGAAAAACCTAAACTTGCTATAATGTTAATTTATCTCATATTGCAAGGCGTCTTTTCCAACCATCAAAAATCACTGTTTTATAAACTCTGGTGAACTCAATTACTCTGTTTCTTGCTTTTTTCAAAGAATTCGACCACTATCAGTGAAACTGCTGCTGAGATAAACAGTCTGTCTTTCCTGCTCAGTAGTTGCCTTTAAAAGTCCCATGCCAACTTTCACTGTAGACTGGGCTATGCAGTATCCTGCATAGTCTCCAAATATCTGGAGAAGGAGCAACAAGAAGAAGGATGTCAGCAGCGGTCTTCCTCAAGAATATAATAGCCGGAGGCTGAAAGCTGGCAACACCCAAGCTTAGGCCGCAACTGTGCCAAGAGCTGATGGAGACCAAATGTGTACAAATCATGTGTTGGATTTAAATTATAGTGATATAACACTAATCAAATTAAGGACTTTCAGTTAAGATCAAAATTTTCTCTGTGAAGTTTTTTTGAAGACAACTTGTAACTGTTGTATAGGGAACACTAAAAAGCAAAAATGGCATTTGAAGTGTGTCAATTTTCATGACAACCTGGCATGGTGCCAGTTATAGGACAAACTTTCCTTTTGAATTCTCTTTCTTTTTTATTTAAAAAAAAAAAGCCACAAAACCACATAGGAAACAAATTCTCTTCTCAACGTATTTAAATGACATGTCGAGGCTTAATTGTTTGTTTTTCAGAAGAAAAAATGCAGCCACATATTCATCCTCTATATAACACTTCAAATCTGTGCTGTAGTTTTGCTGTTCATTGAAGTAATTAGATAAAATATTTCCAACAGTTACCTTAAGTATCTAGTGTCTAAATTCTTTGAACTTGGGCACAGTGTCTAGTTAATGCTTAGATATCAACAAGACTGAAGTTAAGCACTAGGTGAAAGCCTACTCTCCTTTCTTTTCTTTTACAAATACAGTTCTACTCCCACAGCATTCTGCTGGTGTCAAGAGGAAGGATGACTCAGTTGATGGCATGAAGCTCACTGAACCAAGTGTTCAAGACTTTGTACTGGGTGTCTCCTTTGAAATCTTTTATTAAAAATATTTTTGAGTTACCCTTGAAATCAGTAGATGTTTCAAATGAATAACAGCAAATTGACATTAATGAAAGTTAATCACAGGTAAACACAGTTTTGAAGATTTCCAAATGCTTTCAGAGAAATTTTCCAGTATCAGTTGTTTCAGTTCTCTATGAACTGGATGAGTATTTGATAGCACCAGCGTGAACTATTGCTTGGGTATATTAAAAGTTAACTGAGCTTTCCCAATTATACATGACAGTTTCCTATGATCTTTAGAAAAGCACCAATTCAAAATGGTTGGTGATAGGAAATATGCTGCATCATGTGCCTGCAAAGTCTTTCCCCACACAGGTCGCTGACTAATGAGTTTTGCTGCAGCACAAGACAGGAAGGGCACTTCCCTCAAACTGAAAAACACAAAGTAACTTTGTAACAGAAAAAAATGACTAAATATACAAAACAATTTACCTTCAAATAAGTAAGTTCAACTTAGCAAATAATTGAACAGAAGGATGAACAACATTTATCTGTAACCTTTTCATCCTCAAAATGCTGGTCTGTAGAATTCTTGCAAATAGTAACTTCTAGTCCCTATACCACACTAGTCCAGCCAGAATGCACAGCCGAAGCAGAGTCCATCTAAATTTACACAGGACCAAGTATGAACTTTCAGAACAATTCTTCCCTGGTCACTTGATGCTTATTTGCATCACTGCTGATAATTCTTACTACAGAGCACACAAGAATGACTAAGATCCATTAGCCTTTCAAGCTGCAAAACTTTGAATAAGCCTAACTAGTCATAAAAGGATGAACTCTTACTCAAGTTTGCAATTTTCTGAATAAAAAAATTGTTCTAAAATACTTTCATTAACCTATTTCAGTTTAGAGGGAGCACGCAGTAGCAACAGTTATTTGCATTTTTGTAGTGTTTTCAAGAGTCTCTTTTACAGTTACTGATCAGCTTCTATATAACCACGAGGAGTTTTATTGTGCTATAAATATATGGTGAATAAATTTCTGTTTATGTTACAGCACTTCTGAGATGAACAAGAGAAATTCATCCCTTAATATGTCAGTGTAATCCTACAGCAAAATTGATTTTGTTCCTCTTTAGAATGTTATGTAACTTACAGTTCCAATAAAACTTCAGTATTACAGACTATATTAAACACTTCTTATATCTATGTCTGTTTATATAACAAAAGTTCATGTTCTCTTAAGATAGGAATGATAACACCTTCATAAAACCATTAACATATCAAGAAAAATTCTAAAGTAAGAACACTTTTTACCCACTAAAATCACCCAGAAAAACACCTCACCTGCATCAGCTCTGGACCGCTGACCTGGTGATTTTCCAAATGGGGTCTTCATTCATCTGTGTTTAAGTGAGCAGCAAAGCTGCTGGACTAGGGTGAAAATCCAGTTCTTTCTGATTCCAAAATGTTCTCTTACTATTGGAATAAGACAGCTACTTATTAATTCGCCATTCAGTCATGAATTTGTCCTTCCTCAAATGCAGAAGATGCACTTTCAATTACAGTAGTCTGAAAAACAAAACAGGTAAATATAAATAGGTTGATTTGAGATTTGGATATGATAAGCATTAACTGACTTGGTTAAGTTAAAATATTTTGTTACACTTTAATGTTTGTTTTCATACTCAAAGATCCTTCGTATCCTGTTACTCTGAAAACATTCAGCAAACAGAGGGCATATAGGCACAATACTGCAAAACAAATACTAGGGCTTCTACTTTTCCCACATAGTCATAGGTTCATAGGGAAGTTCCATACTACATTAATTACATACCAAAAGGAAAGCTTCTTAAAAAAAAATCATGAAGCTTAGTACAGGGAAGAATGACTACAGGCTTAGAAGAAACAGTACTACATTCAGCAGAGGTAAAGCACAAATAAACAATTTCCATTTCCTAGAAACAAAACACCTTCACATCCACATAATGACTTTGATTCACAGAAGTATTAAAAAAATAAAATAAAAGTATGTTGAAAAAAATCCATCATATTCCAAAACACTGATTTCATTGCAATGACTACTAAAGCCAGCAATTTGTTAAGTCATCGGTTCATAGAAGATCTGCAGAAATTTTTGGAGATTCTCTACACCTACACTCATCAGATTCCCCAAACATTTAGTCATCACATTCCACTAGATGAGGGAGATAAATGAGGACAATTTTTTAAAGTCATTTTCAGGATTTAATTACAGAAACTTGTGATCACCTGAGAATTTCCAAGAATTAAAGGTTAGCTCATTTCAGACAGGAAATATTTATCCAGATTAATCCCTAACGTCAGTGCTACATACAGCCAATACAAGTGAAGTCAGATCATCCTTTTACCCTCACTTCCTTAAGAAATGTCATTGCTGTAATCATGTTTTCTGTAATCTATTAAGCAGCGCTGGTCTTCTCTCTTTTATTTTAGTTTTGGAACCTGCTATCAATTTTCATACAGGCGTTAAAAACAAAAGAATGCCCCTAACTAGTGACTCATGAGGTAAAAAGCGTACCTTATGTTCATTCATGCTTTACTGGACAAGGGTACACACAAGGACATGCCTTGAGGTATGATAAAACTGTCATGCAGAAAAATGCATTTATATCTAACAACACTTGCCAATTCTTCTGTGAATTGCACCCATTAACTTAGAGAACATTAGAGAAACACAGACCAACACTCCCAGGAAAAAACTGCAATAGCAAGACAAAAATTCAGTAATTTCCAGTTTTCAGAAAGATGCATATTATGTTTGGAAGACTTAAATTTGACATTCACAGGCAGCAATTTGTAAGAATTTCTGAAATTAAAGTTAAAAATTGATTCACAGGAAATCAGTAGTTTTTCCATATTTAATCCCTTCCTGAAATCTACCAGTGTATACACAACAATGCTGAGTGATATCAGGGCATCAATAGTCAATTCTTAAAAGTATTTGAAGACACAGTAAGAAGCAATTAACTTGCTTAACTACTTTACTAGAACATAGCATAAGGATTGCTTTTTCTATTAAACTCAGAAATATTTTACTATTAATTAAAATATATTAGCACAGAACCACCAGTGATTATGAAAACAAACTCTGAATTCAGAGCACTGCTGTGATATACTACCATATTTAGTCTCACAAGCACTGCATAAGCATACAAGAGAGGCATCTTTTTTTCCTTCAGAAGAGGTTTAAGTTGAGAGTCAACTGTGATCTAGTATTGTATTTTTCTACGTCTGAAAAAACAACCAAGAACCCCCTCTCAAAAAATCATAAATTTAAACAACTCCCCTGACACAAAACACAAACTGTGAAAATCCTTCAGACTTAGAAACTAACATAACCCTTTGCAGCAAGCTACTGACCTGTTATTCAAGCAACTGTAAGTATTTCATAACACCTGTTTGTGTTATATACTTCCCCCCTGCCCCAAGACTTCCAGTTCATGGCTAAAATATAAAGTACTATATAGATGTTTTAATTTCACTGGTTGTTAAATAGCTATATTTGTAAAGATAACTAAAACACCTCAAAAGTTGTGGTTTCTATCAGTTAACTTTTTTTAAAAAAGATATGTCCCCAGGCATTACTATACTACACATCTGAAGTTTTATCTCTAAAAAGGAAAATTACTTCCTAATCCTTTATAACTCACAATTCATTTGCTAGCATTTAATGAAGTGTTTCACTGTACCCTATGAACCTAAGGACATAAGGCTACTGAAGTCAAAACCTGATTCAGCAGTTCAAACTGCTTTTCTAGAAACTAAGCCAGTAATTGTCATTAATTCAAAACCTCACTGAAGATTTTCACTGAAAGCAAATGACACTTGAGTTTTCCTAAAACTAGCATTCTGAATTCAATTTACATTTCAGTTTCCCCACTGATAGTTTTGAAGATATTAATAAGGAGGGATAAAATTCATTTTTTTCAAAATAAACTGAGGTACTTTGAGAACATATTGGCTTTTGAAATATACATAACAAAGTCTCACTTCATTATAAAATAAACCAAACCCCATAAAACTTAGGATTCTTAAATACGATAAATGACAAAACACCACATTTAATGTCATCATGCAAATATCTTAAACTCTTAATATGGAAAGTCACCAACAAATTAACTCACAAAATGTAAAAAAACTTTTACTATCCAATTTTATGGCAAGTCTCAAAGAACGTCATGTTCCACATAAAAGTTGGAAAAGTTTTTAGTATGCTTCTGATGTACTCAGTAGCAATAAGCTATACTGTTAACATCTTGCTTAGATGTATATTAGGTGATTTATGAAACAATCAACTTTTTAAAGGTAATATTGTTGATAACAGCACATATAGCAAGAAGAACACAAGTAGCTGGTTTTTTGATCTAAACTGACAAATCCAAACCAAGTTATACTAGTCTTTAAAGACTGCGCGTAGCTTTCAGAAGAGAAATGCTGCTGCCTACCAGTTAGGCACCAATTTCCCTAACACCCGACTGCACAGGTCACCAGCAGCACAGCTGCAGCTTTCACTTAAAGACAGGCATTCATTCTTTCAACTTGTCATCAGCTGCAACTGCTCACCAGCCCAGGTGTTTTGCTTGTTTGCTTTTATAATGCTTCCTAGATCACAGCACATTAAAAAAAACCAATACGGAAATGAGATCACTAGTTTGCCTGACTGTGTAACAATTACTGTGAACTGTTCCACAGAAGGTTAAGTATTAGACTAAAAATGTAAGCCCTACAAATTGTCAGTCATACCAGTTTTAGTAAGAATAGTACAATCATACTATCAGAGTACGGAAGAAGACACAACAGTAAGACAGCAAAAATAAAGCTATGTTAAAAAATTATGTTTGCAGTATAAAGGCAAAAGGAGGAAAACCCAAAATGCACACAGACTGCAGCTTTCACTGTGAACCAGCTTAACTCCCTCTATAAACTTAGTTGTTTAGAAACATTAAAATGTTTTTACATGAGTTTTTAACTCGATGAAAATAAGTGTAACCATCTAAAATAATTCTCTAGCTTAACTTCCAGTTAACTCCCATGCTTGCTTTTCCACCAAACGATATGCACTTCACTGCAACACAGTTGCAGTTTGCTGTGAAAGCTATCCTTGCAAGAGTGATGTTTGCAGCACAAAAGCACAGTTGTGATAATTAACGCTAACAGCACCAAAACCGCAACATTAAGTGCTTGACTCCTAAAGCCCATACCTAATTTTTACTATCACGAACAAAGAAGGAAATAGCATCAGGAACATTTGCTGAGGCATTGCTTTCAGGGTAGAAGTTTGAAGCAGGGGCAGGGTAATAGCATGTGTTGCTTCTATCTCTCAGATACAGAACTGCAAATTCAGATTATACATCCCTTGATGTTAACTACAGGCTCACTACTCCTCAGGCGTTCTGTTCCTGCTTTCAGAGCTGCCAGCAAGCACGCCTTGTGGCACCACCTGGCAGACTCCAATATTTCAGTTTGACATCTTTCTCTTGCATGCAAGGCCCCTCAAAGCTTGCACTGGGGGCTGCTTAGCAAAGGACTAGCATATTGCAACACATGACAAGAATGTTCAGCGGAAGGAGTCATCTGGCCTGTATCAGGAACAGCGTGGAGAGCACGGCCTGAGACGTGATCGTCCCCCTGTACTCAGCACTGGTGAGGCCTCACCTCGAGTACTGTGTCCAGTTTGGGGCCCCCTCCCATAAAAAAGACATTGAGGTGCTGGAGCGGGTCCAGAGAAGGGCAACAAAGATGGTGAGGGGTCTGGAGAGTAAGTCTTATGAGGAGAGGCTGAGGGAGCTGGGGTTCTTCAGCCTGGAGAAGAGGAGGCTGAGGGGAGGCCTTATTGCTCTCTACAACTACCTGAAAGGAGGGTGTAGAGAGGTGGGGGTCCGTCTCTTCTCTCAAGTCACAGGCGACAGGACGAGAGGAAATGGCCTCAAGTTACGCCAGGGGAGGTTCAGGCTGGATATTAGGAAAAATTTTTTCACTGAAAGGGTTATCAGACATTGGAATGGACTGCCCAGGGAGGTGGTTGAGGCACCATCCCTGGAGGTGTTCAAAAGACAGGTTGATGTAGTGCTGGGAGGTATGGTTTAGTGATGGTGTTGCTTCTTGTTTGTTGTGCGGGTGTCTATTTTTGTCAAAGTTAGGTTGATGGTTGGACAAGATGATCTTTAAGTTCCCCTCCACCCTAGAAGATTCTGTGATCTGAAACGAAATGCATCAGTTGAAGAGATTCCTTATTAAGTACTTCAGAACTGCTGGTACATGTTTCAGTTGAAGTAGTACCATGGTTTCAGCACTAACAAGTTGGATAAAGCATGTATGTTATTTAGACTCCCTAATTCTTACCATAGGAACAGAAAGAATCATCCTCTGCAAGTCTTCTGCACCTCATCCCGAAGGGCCATCTTTATGTTAAAATATCTCCTAAATAACAGGGGGAATAAAAATATAAATGCCTGGGTTTAGTTTGCGTTACTTTTTTTTCTTTCCCAGTAAAAAAACAGAAACACTTTCCTGAATTCAGCCACTCAAACTCCAAGCTTGTTTTGAAGTATCCTACAGGCTCATCCAGCATACTGGTTAATAAGAACTGTATCCTATCACTAGAATTTTCTGTGTGTAGTAATATTCGACATCTGAGAAGAAAGATTATAGTATGCAAACTCTGAACATAGAAGTGATTTACAGCTGACAAACATGAAGAGCAATACATTTATTTCAACTATGGATTTATTTCTGGGCTGAAAAGACCCCAAATCACATACTACTACCTCTCCCCTATGAAAGCCTCTCTAGTTTATTCTCTACCCATAGATATGTTATTTGCCTACAATTGTGCAGAAACAAGCAGCACTGGCAGGTACACAAACACACAAATACACACATATTTGGTTGGATGGGGCTTTGAGCAACCTGATCTAGAGAAAGTTGGATCAGATGATCTTTAATGTCCCGTCCAACACAATCCGCTCTGTGATTCTATGACAGCTATAAACACATAAATAAAATTTTAAGTTACCTTCATGCTACAATGCTGTAGTCATGCAACTGCAGATTATTCAGGAGAAGACTGAAGAATCTGAAATTTGTGGAAACTGCCTATTTAAATGGCTACTGTTAAGAACAGGACTGCAAACACTGTACAGTTTCTGCTAAAGATGAAGCAGCACATGCATACATGCGATCAATTTTAGGGATCAGACTATCATACTTTATGGTGATTCTTGAACTGAATAAAAATGTTTTTAACCTTTCAGCAAACTCCTGTATTTTTACTTTTGTCAAGAGACAGCAAACTGCAGTTTCTATTTATAAATAATTATTTATTAAAACACTTTAGCATCAACAAAGGGACAGACTATTTACCATAATATAGAGCAAAAAAAGGTTTTGCTAATAAGTTCTGAAGACAAGAACTTGTTATTATAGCATAAAACCAGGGAAGGTGACATAGGATATAAGGAATCCTAAAAAAACTGAAAATGCTATAATAGGGAACTATCAACAGTAATATTAGTTCGAAGAATTATTCAGAATTAGATAGGTAGTTTTACAAAGGGTACTAAGTTTTCAGAAGTCTTCTACCTCAGGCAAGAGTTTGAACAAGTTTTGTCTAAACCATCTTTCAGCATATATCCTTACCATAGTGTCGCGGACGCAACACATAGCTCTATTGAAGTTAGAAAAAGTTTTCAGGTGAAATGTGGATTTTTTTTTTAAAATACTTCTAAAATTCATTTCATTAACTTGAAGCAGTAGTATAGTTTTACAAGAACATATGCAAAAGGCACCTCGAAGACTGCTTTCAAAATTCTTACACAAAGGATTAAAAAAAATAAAAGTGTGAGAAATGAGCTAAGTTCTGGTTCAGCTAATAGATATATTCTTGTTAGTGTGTCTGTACTAACAAAGGAGGCTTAGTGATAGTAGAGTCTAATAAATTGTACCCAATTAATCCCCAGAAATGCCCTTGGTCTGTCAAGGGATCCTTGTTTACAGAATGTTATCTAGGTGAAGAGAAACAGACTGGCATGTGGCCTTCAACACAGGAACCCAGAGGAAAGGGCAGTATCATTAAGTCCAAAGAAACCAGTCTTGGGCAGTAAATCTGCCAAGTGGGCTGTGAAGACTGCCAAGTCGACTAAGTTCATCTAGAGGGCAGCTGATGAAGAGGAGGATACCAGCACCTGATGAAGTAAACGACCACCAGAGTGCTTGTAATTACTAACACTGGGCAGTAGATAGTACCAAAGACTGTGTAGCGTAATCAGTTAATCAAAGGCCTGTTTAGGATAATGATTTCGTAAGGTAGTTGTGTGTATGCCTTATAAAGTGAAAAGATGCGAACTAAACCCATAATAGGTCAGGCGGTCGGAAGAATGTGAGCTCCAACTTCGCAATCAATTGAGAAGTGAGACAGAAACAGCCGGGATGAGGGTATAAATACCTAAAAGCTGAAAGATGAGGTGTGCCTCTGCTTTGAGATGCACCCTTACTAACACTGGGAAGTAGATAGTACCAAAGACTGTGTAGCGTAATCAGTTAATCAAAGGCCTGTTTAGGATAATGATTTCGTAAGGTAGTTGTGTGTATGCCTTATAAAGTGAAAAGATGCGAACTAAACCCATAATAGGTCAGGCGGTCGGAAGAATGTGAGCTCCAACTTCGCAATCAATTGAGAAGTGAGACAGAAACAGCCGGGATGAGGGTATAAATACCTAAAAGCTGAAAGATGAGGTGTGCCTCTGCTTTGAGATGCACCCGATTCAGTGCCGTTTCGTACAATTTTTTTAATACATTTTTTTAATCTTTGCTTTGGCAACTTTGTTCTCTCTTAAATTCTAAGCGTGAGTCGGTGTTTCTCACAAAAGGAATGGACGGTCAGAGAGAAATCCTGGAAGTATAGTTTCCAATGTTTCCTATCCATGCTTGTTTTTCCCCTCCTGAATTAGCAAAATGTAGCTTTTACTAAAAAACAACTCTACTGTTGTTTCATTTCCACTCTTTATTTCCAGTGCATTTTCAAAGCAGTCTGTCTCACTTAATCCAATTTAACATTTAAGAACTGTTCTTTTCACAACAGATGTAATTTGAAATAAATTTTGGCAGTGTGTAATTCAGCCACTTTGTAAAACCAGCAGCAAGAACTTCACCTAGAGCCATATTATAAAACAGTATTTTAAACAGACTTGCTTATCTTTTTTAATTTTGGGGACTTAATGACCAGTCTCCCAGAAAAAGAGTATCATCTTGCAAGACTAACTTTCAGAACTCTCAGGCTACAGTTCTCAATTGAAGTAAAAGCATCAGTAAAGAGAGTAGGAGAGCAGAGGTCGATGGCCGTGTCAGAATGCACCCATTTCTGATTTTAAAAAAACTTTAACAGGTTAAATGCTAGAAAGATGTTATTTCGTCCAAAAAAACTTATAAAATCATTTTTAGCCTTGTCTGCATTACCCTTATGCTTACATAAATAGTTACTGTGGGAGATGGAAGGTACAGAAATTGTCAAGCCTGTTCTTGTCTGGATTTCAGCACCCTTCCATCACTAGCCTGGAACACACAAAAAACCAAGTAGGATTTTTGACTTTTTACGGAAAAACACCAAACAACTAAAACCCAGAGGAATCACATTTGAAACTACCGTACCAGGCAACTGCTCAAAATTAGAAGAAGAATATACTATATCCCATTTGGAAATATTTTGCTGGCATCTGCTCCTTGAAAAGCCTTGCATTACTAGGAAAGATATCAACTTCAGAAAGTTAATTCTAATCACTTACAAAATAAAAGGTAGGGTGTTTGTCTTAAACATTCAGAGAAGCATACATTGCATTCTTAAAATAAAATCCATAAGTGAAAAACACACATAAATTGTGATATTTCCGAAATGTCTTCCAAGCCCAAGAACACAGTCAATGGATTTGACTAGTGCCACACCAGTGAAATTGATTATTAAAGTCTTGCTGTCTAGAAATTAAGCGCTGAAAGAGGCAAAGTCTCTCCAGATAGTAAGAACGAAGTTTCTGAAAGTTTAGGTATCTAGAATAAAACTTCTACTTTTTAGAAATATACCAAGGTGGCACTTGCTAAATAAAGTGCCTCTAAATCCTACTGTGTGGGTTAACAGGATGTTGGACAGATTAGACCAGAACAAGGAATAGAATAAGCAGGAATACTAACAAAAGATGACCCTACTGAAAACAACACCTAACGACCTTACTGATTAGAGAAGAACCTGTAAACAACGCCTAACGACTCCACTGATTAGAGAAGAATCCGCAAGAAGGTGTCAAAGTGTCTATTAAGCAAGAAGATAACACTGATGGACTTGGTGAGCTGTAAGACTGTTGGTTGTAATAAACGATTCTGGTTGCACCTCCCGACAGGGGTCCGTGCCTTCATACACTACACTATTGCAATCAAAGAATTATTTGAGACTTTTTGGTCAACCACAAAATACGCTGATATCACCTCATTCTCATCTGACTTGCTTGCTATTTTATGCTCACCCTCACTATATAGCACAATTCCATACCCAACATGAATGTAGGATTCTGGCTTCAAAAAGTGGCAGTCTCCACAAGTGGCATACCATAAACATAGTTCCAAGGGATTCCCCATGAAGTGCATAGATATGTCAGCGGGCCATGGAACCACAGAGTAAACCGCTCAAGATAAACTACCTACAGGTGAAGCACAGAAGTACCTCAGATATACTTCAATTGACCGTTTTCTTTTTCCAGTCTAGAGTTATTACAGATAATTAGCAGTAACTTTTTACCATAACACCAGCCAAAAAATTATGTATGTGTACTGTAGTGCAGCATGTCCTGTACTCCAGCCTGCAAGCCCTCCGTATTTCTTCTTTTCCTCTTTCTCTCCCAGTTTCATCCCACCAATCTTCATATAATCTTTTCCTGGTTGCACAACACCATTATTTTCACCTGCCATTAGAGCACCTCTGAGAGAGAACATCTGGCTTTCTTCTTTTGCAGAATCTCTCATGAGGATGACAGTATTTTCAGTGCATTTAAACACATGACAACATTTCATAAATGTGTCATTTCATAAACAGATCATAAAAGAACCTTCAGGGTTACAAAGCCCCAGGTCATACCAGGTTAGTTTTTCCTATTTATTCTTCAGTGGCGCAGGAAAAAAGCCCCTAGGACAAATTGACTTAAGATTCTTAGCAAACAAAAAGCAGAAGTTGAAGCCTGATCCGTCAGATAACCTCAAAGGATCTTACACAGCTTCCTACATATAAAACTTAGGTAGGAATCTCAACATAATCTGTAAGAAATTCTATTATTAACTCTCCAGTACCTATCCAAATAGTTCAATGAACCATTGTGGGGGAAGCTTTGACAAGCAGTCATGGAAATGAAACTCAACTCTAGAAGCTCACAGAGCTATGAGAT